TTCCGATTTCTAGAAAGTATACTCATGCTCATGCATTTCTTTTTGTGTAGGCGACATCATGTTAATTACTCTAACATTGATAATTGTTGCTGTAAACCAGCTGATCGACTCATTTACTCAAGAACTTAATATTTTCTCACACGCCAATTGCAGCAAAGAAATGAAATTATATTTATTGAAGTCTTTTTCATGCAGCTCTTCATCACTAGCTTCATAACCATGAAGTAACGCAACAGTTTGATTTACGTTTTCCCATATTTTAATCCTACATTTATTATGAGCATGATGTAAGAGTCAAATGTATCACCAAAGCCTACGAATACTGGACAATGAACATATTATGCCACTTACAGCCAGTTATTTGTACAAAGGCTATCTGTCCATAATGTTGAGCTGACAGTTTAGAAAGAAAACAGCTACTCAACATCACTCACTGCCAACTGTTGGGCTACTCTAAATAATTTGGCATTTGATCATAACTGTTATAACGCACCCACGACTCCAAATATGCGGAGAATGGTTTTATGTCAAAGGGTTGCGAGCCATGAGCCCTTGGGTTCACAGTCTGGTGCACTAACCACTGGATCACGCCGTGTCAAACAAGAACAATCTTGTTAGAGTTTTTAGCAAAGAGAGAGATGTTCACATTCAATTTTACTACACATTGTGTAAAACAGGTTAATGATTAAGTTGACGATCAGTATTCTGTTTCAAGGCACCAGTTTAACTATTTGATATAAGAATATATCACAGGTTTCTTCTTTCTATAGATTAATATTTATTTTTTGTTCCGAATATGTATAGGTTTTCACATAACTCGTGGTCAAAAAAAGCCATTAATTCGATCTTGTTTCAAATCACCTTTGTTATTCTTAAAGTTAGGTGTATTCTGTTACTGCCTGTGGAGAACATAGCAACCTTGTTCAGGATGTCGAGATCGACGTCTTTCACTGGTTGTATAGTTAATATCTACAGATCACGACCCCACTCGCGTAGAATGAAAATGAATATAAAGTAGTAGTCCAGTTATACTACGTAAGTGTGAGGTTTTAATTAGAAACCTCTCATTTATTTATCATTATTCCTAGTCTCATCAACGCTTGATCACCATTTAAGCCTGTCAATATGAAATTTCCTTTGTTGATTGGAGAGAAGCTATACGTGAATGAAGAGGTCGTGCTCCGACTATGTATAGGAGTTCACTTACAGAACAAAGGTTGCTGTTCACAGTAAGAGCATCCAGTGTTGGCTAGAAGGACCCAAGAAACAGTGGATTGAAAGAGTGTATGTGGGAGAGGAAATCACAGTGCCCCCAAATACACATGGTGTTTTGGGGTTTATTGTGAACAATATCTAGTGTGTCAGTGCCATGTAACATGGTAACAACACATGTAATAGGCTATTTCCTATCCAGAATGTAAACAACATTAGTTGCCTGTACAAGAAACTCCAGTATTGCTCTACAATTGTTGATGGTCAGTTATCTAGCTGCAAGCTTGAATGATCAATCGCATATTAAGCAAAGTGGAAGTAATCAATGCTTGTGAAAAATTAGTGCTGCTTCAATAGTACCAAATACAAAAGCAGACACTCGAATACCAGCACATCTAAGATCACTAGTTCAGGATCGTGCAGACAATCTAATCTCAACACAATGGCAACAGCTCAGTGATATGTTGGTAGAATATACTGATGTGTTTACAGGACCTGACGATCGATCGACTGGGTCAGACTTCTCATAGACACAGATGTTGCATGTCCAATTAAAAATTTGCTGTGCAGGCTTTTTGCAGCACTAGGGAAATAGTCAGTGCTGAAATAGAGAAAATGTTAAAGGACAGAAACATACATCTTTCAGAGAAGCTTGATCGTTCCCCATAGTTATTGCTAGGAAAAAAGAAGGTACACTCATATCCTGTATTGATTTTAGGTGGGTGTATGCAGTAACTTGCATTGATGACTTTGCATTGTAAGACTGCTTTTAGCACTCGAGATGGCTTGTACGAGTTTCATGTCATGTTGTTTGGACCTGTGTAATGTCCCTGCCACTTTCGATAAGTTAATGGAGCTTTCACTGAAAGGGCTACAATGAAAGAATTGTCTTGTATATGTTGCAGATGTCTTAGTTTTAAGTCATATGTTCAAGCCTGCTGATAAACTGAAGATGGTATTCCAGTGGATAAAAAGGACGGACTTAAAACTGAAATATAGATTTTATTTCTTAGGCTGGAAGAACTTCCCCATATGCAGTGATAGCATTGTGTTTTCATTTGAACATATAGATTGTTCGGGAATTTTAGCTGAAAGTAATGGTTGTAACCAAGTTATGAACCCTTTCAACCTACACATTTAGCTGACGTTTTGCCATTTAGGTTTCACTGACCTAACATTTTCAAGCTGAAATTTTGAATATGTAATGTTAAATTCTGGACCAATTTTGTTATCTGATTCTTCAATTAACCAGATTTAGAAGACAATGGAAACCAACTAAGGGGGGGGGGGGTCTCATTTTGTGAGAAGCTCAACTCCACCACAAACTCATGATCACCTAGGACCTTCTATACAGCAGAGGACATGAATGAGGAGACAATGTTGGCAAGCATTTTCGACCCAGTATCCTTCCGAGTTGGTAGTTAGTCCCGCCTTAAAATTACTGGAAGCTGAGCTGTCTCGTGTGGAGAAGTTAAACCACCAGAAGTCGTGCCTCCTGTGGTTGCACCCAAAACAGAGCAGCAAATGAGAAATATGTGAAAAGGAAAAGGCTAACTATTCTAAGAATGCCTGTAATATAATTTGATATTGTATTGTATGTGTATTGATTTTTGTTTTACTTCTTCACTTCATATACAATATAGGGGTTGGATCCCTAAAGACACCGATTGTATAGTGTACAAAGCATTGAATATCTACTTGTTACAGTCATCTAATGTTCATCTATTATTAGCTGGTAATTCCTGTTTCACCCTGTACTTAAGCTTTTTAGAGGAACACCAGATACTCGTAAGAAAGCTAACTTCAAGGGGAAATTATAACATCGTTTCCAACAGAATTATGGTGTTTTTTAGCTTGTATAAAATATAGAAGAAACAAATCGACGTTTCAATACCCCCACGACGTTGAACTTTTATACTATTAAAATATTGATTATTATATACGTTTTTATGCTATATTTATTGGTATACCATGAAAAGAAAGTAATTTAATTAAATTTTGAATGTAACTCACTAAAACCTCATGACAAGCGCAGAAAAGAGATGTCTGTGGAGAGAGGGTTAATGTAATTTTGTGATATTTCTTTGTTAAAGTGTTTGTCTCAATTATGTTAATTTTCTTTGTTAAAGGACTTGCTTTTGTATTATATTAATTTTCTTTGTTAGTGTTCATTTTACTATATTTCATAGTTTAAGAGAAGTTGTCGAATTTATGTACTGTATTTTCTTTACGTAAGGCTGCTCAAGCTCTAGTAAGATTGTGTGTTAAAGAAGTCCAGTATGTTGTATTTTAAATCTTTGTTAAATGGTTTTCTTCTTTTATGGTTCCCTGGTGAGTCAGCAGAAATTTTACAGACTTACTGTGATAAAATCTGAGGGTTTTGATTCCCCGTGGCAGACAGACAGACCGCAGATAGCCTATTTATAGCTTTGCATGAGAAAACAATAACTTAGTCTTCTTGTATGGTATTTTTATTTACATTTGTGATCTGCGGTAAAGGATTATGTATGGTTGAGAAATTTTATATGAAATGTATTTCACTGTTAAAGAGTTATTCTTATAGTGATAATGCTATAGTGCTTATAATGCAATTCTTTGTAAAAAGACTATGAGTGTAATTTAGATTGGTCGTTAGGGGGCGTCATTTATGATTTTACTATTTTGGTTAAAATTTTAGTTATGAAATTTATGCAGTACACTTCATTAGTGAAGAATTTTGCTGTTTTATTTAAAGTTACGAGTCTGTTTTGTTAAACAGTTTTGTAATTACTTTGTTAAAGGGTATGTTGTTTATGTGTTTGTGTACATCTGTTAGTTTTTTTGCACTGTTTCTTTGTTAAAATGTACATGTTTGTGCAGTTATTCTATGTTAAAAGGTTTTCATTATAAAATATGTATAATATCTTTGTTAAAGGGCTCATTTCTTCTGTATTTTGTGGTATTCCTTGTATAAAGACGATTAGAAAAGGTTAATATAAGCCTTGACTAGCGTGATTGATTGGTTTTACAGTTAATAATCTTAGGCCTCGGACAAGCCTAAGATAAGAAAGATTGGAATGGAAATGTAATATACGAATATATCACAAATTTCATCTTTCTGTAGTATAAATAATTATTCTGAATTTTTCTTTGTTTTAAATATGTATAAGTTTTCACCTAACACATGGTGAAGAAAAGCCGTTACATTTCAAGTTACCCTTGTTTCTCTGTTATTCTCAAAGTTCAGTGTTTCCTGTTACAGAATATTGCTACACTTGTCCTCCTTTCACGGTGTTAAGATCAATGTCCTTCAGTGGTTGTACACGTAAAAATCTAGATATCACAGCCACATCTATATGGAATGATACTGACCAATCATTTGGTATCACATCGAGCTAAGTAAATGCAAAGTTTCAAGTAGGAAGCTTTCATTTAGTTAACATGATTCATACTTTTCATTCAAGCTTGACCTGATCTTGACTCTGTGAAGAAGCGACAGTCCATCCTAATCAAGTATACACAGTGTTTTTAAGTTCTGATAAAAATTGTGTTCATTATGTATTATACTTTGTGTTCAATCCTTAACTTCAACTCAAATAGTATGGTTGAGCACAGTTCTGTAATAACATGTCTGAATCTCTAGTAAATTGGACCTACAAGTTAAATCACACATATATATATATATATTCACTTCACCCAGATATACTACAACCATGTTACTGCAGTAGTAATTTTTGATCCACTAAACTTTTATTGATGAAAAATGTAAGGGAGACAAACAATCACACTCAATCTTGCTATTTGATTTGGTTTTAAAAAAAAATCAAATGATAAATATATTATAAAAAAGAATGGAAAATTGTACAACAGCATGATGCATAAGGAATCAAAAGATGACAAAAAAAGTGATTCAGCACCACTGCTACATGTCCTTACAAGCACTTTTAAAATCTAAATCAATATACATAAAAGTATTACCTTTTGATAATAAATTAACTAACTGAGTAAGTACTACTAGACAATGAGCTTTTAAAAGAAAATGAGACATATTTGAGTAAAGTTTGCTAGCTTTTCAGATGGTTTTACTGAACAAGATTTTTGTCTTAACTATTAAACGTTCTAGACATAGAATTCAATAAATACATACAAGTTTGTCTTTATATTTTAACCTATAATATGTCCTACTTCCTTCAGGACATCAATATTTTCTTGAGGAGGAGTCACAGCTGAAGTTTCTTTCAAATACAAATTTCAAGTAAAATAATTATGATGCTGAATATTTGGTTGTGTAAATCAATTTAATAACAGATTTTCAATGAAAAATATAAATTATTGCCAACTACTTCCACTGTCATAATATTAATGTTGTCTGAAAAGAAAAACACAAATTCATTTCTAACCAACTTAACCAAAGAACAACCTACAAAACGTTTGTTATTCCAAAGACATTAGTCATTCAAATGAAGTTTGTGTACTTAATTAGTACCCTTTATTTTGAAATGTTTACTTTCCATGCCTGTAAACACTAAACTCCATACAAAAATATGGCACTGTTTGACTTTACATAAATTAAGTTTTGTTAGTTTCACCTGTAGGTGGTGTTAAGCTGAAGTTATAAAATTTTAAACTCCACAGAAAAAAGTAAAAATAATTGAAATGCATAATAACACTAATTTAAAAAAAAAGCATATCTCTGTTACCAAAAGTAAAATGGAACTAACTTGCTTTATTAGCAATAATTTTCTAAAACAGTATTTAAAAAAAAATCAAAATTAATATTAAATTTAAGCTTAACAGTAATCTAATAATAAATTTCAATTTATATAATCATCTCGCATACCTTATTTCATTCAGAACATTTTAAATTTTCGTTTTCTTTACTAAAGGGCAAATGATATGCAAGTTATTCTTTTTTATTGATTTTTACCAACGTGCCTGAGAGAATGCATTATTTTTACTTTAAGAACTAAGTAAGTAAATTACTGATGCAAATATATTTTTTTTTTACAATATTTGAGCCCTTAACTCAGAAACAAGGGAACCAAAGTTAATTAAAACAAAATGATTAAAATTTTAAATAATTATTTAAGACATGTGCCGTATTAATCAATAATTTATTTTTTCTAAACGTTTAGTTAAGATCATACCAAATGGCAGAGGTAACTTGATATATATAGTCAAACAGAAACTATCTTTCATATATCTATAGTTTACAGTACTTACTAAATCTTATAAAAACTGTTTTAACATCAAGCCATGTGCTAATGTAACACACTTGTAACATGATAAACTTTAAATAAAACAGATTCAATGACAATCCACAGAAATTTTGATTGTTAAACTGAAATATATATTCCACATCATTATTGACTTCTACACAGTTTTTAAAGCAATTATTTGTTTACTGATCTGAATGTATAATATTCAAAATATTCTTACAATGGAAATCATTCATAAATTTAGAATGAATACTACACAGCAGTTGAAAAGATATATTATGAGAAAGCAAATACATGTACAATTTAAAACTTTCTGTACAAATTCAGGTCCATTGTTCAAAAAATTTTTAGTAAACTTTCTACCCAAAATCAACTAAGCTTTAGTTCCTGGCATTGCAGATGCACCCTCTAAATGTTTCTCATGTGATTAACAGGATCCACAACACAAAGTAAAGAAAAACTAGAAAGCAGAATGATTAAGTACAACCTTAAAATGATTCTCAAAAACCTTCTGAAAAACTACGTGTTCCGTGGTGTCTTTCAAATGTTAGGAACCAGAAAGAGGTAAGTACTTCTTAAGAATCGCTGAAACTTTAAATGTCCCAATTACAACTTCATTGAAGATGTGATAAGCAACTTAGGTTCACTACCATTTTTAAATAATCTTGGACATTGTTCAGCACAACTTTTTAAATTACTACAATCACTCAAGTCTTTTTAATTGACTTCAGTATAACATTTAAAATGTTTCTAGGCACTCATTTATTATCTTAAATTGAAAAAAGAATCACTATAGGCCTTGCATTAACATATGGAGCTCCCTGAATGAATGCCCAAGTTTTCCTTGCATGGTTTGTCGTTTTAAGAGGAATGCTCGGATGGATAGAAGGTGGTTGTAACAGCTAGCACACTTGTTGTGTCTAAAACAGAAGCAACATACATTTGTGCATCCATAAAACAGTACTCTAACATCTTTAAACATAACCATCAAACATTACATTTGCAAGTACAGAACATAATATCCATCACATTTGAACATTCTTGACAATGCAAAGTAAATTTTAGTGTAAAAACCTGTTATTATATAAAATAATAATTCTATCAAGTAATGTACCTACATATTCTCATGATGATCATACCAACCAGGAGCTCTAAATTTGGTTAAGCAACTTAATTTTGATACTGATAGATGATAAAAAAAAATCCATTAAGTAGAAAGTTGATGGCACCCTCCGAAGCAAAATCACATGTTATTGTGATTTTCTTTGATTATCTTATGTAGACTTTAAATAGTATAGAGAAGACAAGTGCAGTCCTACCAGCAGTGTCTGCTGCTGCTGCCACCTTTTAAAATAAAGAATGATTTTGATAAACAACATGCTGAAATTCTAGCTACTTTTATTGAAATCTGTTTGTGGAGGTGCTATGTTATAATTGATCATGTCTAATAAAGCGAAATAACGGAACATAGCTGTTTCCCACCTTCTACCTAACAACAGAGTATAATCTTTCTTACCTTGTAATTATGAATTTCATGTATTACTTGCCACATATATGACAAGTACAACTAAGAGCTAATCTTACACTTACATGAAGAGCAAAAAATTTATTTCCATAAGTATGTAAATATAGATTTGTTTACAAGTGGAAGCATTAAGAAACAGGTTTTTAAATGTTTGCTGGAAATCCTGCTAGCAATTACCTTCTGTAAAGTTGACATTTTCCAACAGTGAAAATTTATTTCCGATAGACATGTCTCCTCATGTATCAGCTTTTCCCCATTTTGTGCTGCCATCTATATTCACAATTTCTTTCCTCACCACTAGCTATGAGGCTCTCACCTAAACTCACATGTTTCCACATGCTGTTGCTGCACTGTAGCATTGAGATAAGCAAGAGACAACCCACCACCAATTGGAGCGAGGCACATCATCCTAGGGCAGTTGACTCCCTCTATACTGTTTTTTAATCAATACTTTGAGATTAGGCAAGAAAAGATACACTGGAAGTAGGGTGGGAAGTGTGAGAGGAAGTAACTATCTTTCGGAAATACATTTTCAGTGTTGGAAAATGTTAACTTCTGACAGAATACCTTACCACCTCTCACATACTGGTTAGAATCACACAATGAAATGGTGGAGGGACTGGTGCTAAAGTTACCTAGATGATCCCCTTCAGAAAGCACCTGAAGGGAACCCATGAAGTGTGATAACCTATACTATGGAAAAGTATAGAAGCACACCCCTGGGAGACTGCACCCCCTTCTTTACCAGGGTATACTCTTTATTCATAATAAATATTGGTGTCACTAAACTGGGCAGAAAACAAGCACAGTCCAGAATCAAAGTATGGAATATGAATGTACCAAATGGTGAAGTGTAGCTGGAGTGCATCAGACTGTATGTGGTAGGTCAACTCCAGTCTGAAACCAAGCGGCATCAGGTATTTTTCATCCAGTCCAGGGTGGGAGGAGGGTCCCAACCATCTTCACCTCAATCTCAGGAAGCAGAAGGGAAAAGTAACCTCCATTCTGCCAACCTAGCAAGTGTTCAGGTGCTGTCCCTGCACACATCCAATATCAGGCCATCTGGGAATCTGACATCTAGGAAATGACAGGATGGGGGAAAGCATACATAGAGGGTCAACAAGAGTCCAAAATGAGAATGCGTCTGGTATTTTTCATGTGGTCCATGGTAGGAGAATGGTGAAGAACAAAGGATCCCAAGTTAGGATCCAGTGATCATGCAGATCCATTGTAGATTTGCAAATGAGTATGAACCAAGGGGATACAGGATTCTAAGGAAGCCCAGATCCCCAAAAGAGAGAGAACCCTCCTACATAGTGAGAAAAGGAGAGGAGAGGACATGGGAAACTAAATGCTCCATGTACCTCAAAAGAAGCCTGTGGAGATGTGAACTGAAAAACACCAAAATTAATGAGATACTAAGTGGGTGTGAGATGTGATTTCTCAAGGTAGACCAAACAACCCAGACATGCTGCCTCCCAATAAAGAAGAGGAGGGCTGTAGGAGGCTTGTTGGTATGGACCCAAATGAGAAAAGAAGCATCCAAGATATCCAACTCAGTCAGTTTCTCAACTACAATGGTCTTTTGTCCAAGGTATGGGAAGATTGAGACATGAAATAGCTATGACCAGATGCCAATCTATGACTTCCTTGGAAACAACAAAATGACAGGATTAAAGGCCTGGAGAAGGATTAGAAACACCTCAGACAGCTTCTTCAGCCATTAGGTCTAACAATGCCACAAAACAACATTGGTAAGAAACAAGATCAGGACCCAAAATCAGCCGCAAATGGAGGTCAATGGTCTGTAAACCAAACTAAATAGGCCCTATCAATCCTGAGCCTATAGGATAGCCCCTGCCAAATTGAAAGCACTGAAGTGTACATGCAGTGGGAGGATGAATGGAACCGGAGGAATGGGAAGTGGGGACAGGAAGAAGAGAGGAAGCAGGAGGATGGGAGACAAAAAGAAGTAAAGAAGTAGCAGAGGAAACCAGTGAGGATAAGGAAGAACATTGCCATGCTGCCCCAATATGCAACTCCAGAGAAACAGGCACTCCAGTAAAATCACACTGGCAGAAGTAAGGAGCCAGATGAAGGCATACGAGATAAAAGGGAGGCAAAAGCATTTGAGGAAGGACATCATGCTACAAACTCTAGTAAAAGATCATCCAAATTTGAAGTGATAAGGTTGAGGAAGATAAACATGCCACTGTAGCAAAGATAAGTGAACAAGCACTCACCAAAAACCCTGCAGGGGAATGATGGAGTACCACGTAAAGAAGATGAATGGAGAAAAAATAACACAAAAGGGTAGAGTGTAAGACGAAGATGGTATAAAATAAGCCTAAGAAAGATGAACAAAAGATAGAGGATCTGACCCCCAAGTCTGAAGAAAAGAATCCAGAGTTTAGGAGTAAAAAAGGCAATACAGCATGAAGTTGTGCCTAGTCACATGAGGTAACAAAGGAAGGAGGACGAGATATGCATGCAACAAAGTTGTGGTAAAAATAGTCAAATATGGACTTGTGTATCTAGAGAAGTAAAAAACATAAAAGTAAGAAGCAAAGAACAAATTACAAAGTGAAGGAAAGAAACTCAGTCCCAAAATTATGAAAAAGGCTTAGGTAGATTCAAGACAGCATGGTTGTAAGATTAGGCAAAGGCAGGTGGTAGGAAAAAACTGGCAAAATCCCTTCCATTATGAACAAGAAACATAGGCAGAGGAATGTAAAGTACAAAAGGTCCAGGATGCATGAAAGACTACACCAACCACCACACAAAAGCTGACACAAATTAAGTTGTTAGGCTAGCATGAATAATGTCTTGTTGTCTCATGCCAGACAAAGTGGAAGATACTAAGAGATTATGAAATAATAATATGAAAATAAAAGGCCACAAAATCTGCAAGTGCAGAAAATGGGAAAACGAAAATCCAATAATAAATACTTCCATAACTGGGAATGTCTTTGTAGATACTTCCATGAAAAAAAAAAAAACTGCCTTATTCTGAAAAATTTATGAGCACAAAAAAAAACACATTTCGTTACAACTGAGTGCCAAACCAAGAAGTGATGATTGGTCAATCAGTATAGAGGGAGTCATCTGCACTAGAAAGGTGTCACAATCCTAATGAAGAAGGGTTTTTGCATGGTACAGCATAGAAATATCACATGGAAACACTTGAGTTTAGGTGGGAGCCTTATGAGAAGCAGCATGTGTAAAAATAGCACATATAGACATTAGCCAAAATCAGGAAAAGCTAATATGCGAGTAGCGTGTGTTTGTTTTCTTATAGCATAGCCACATCAGGCTATCTGCTGTGTCCACTGAGGGGAATTGAACCTTTGATTTTAGTGTTATAAATATGAAGACATTAAATTGCACAAATAGGTTTACATGACAATGCTACAGCTACAGCAAAGACACATAATTTTGTGAAATGTTAATTTAGATAAAGTCTGAAATATATTATGAATTATGTGGATGTTTTAAAACCAAAACAATTTCAAATATATTGTAACTGTTCCTGTGGTGTACAACACTCTTCACTAAGTGAACTTTGTAAAATTTAAAAGTACAATTTCCTCAATGTGTTTGTATATCATACAACTGTAATTGTTGCTTATTATGTAAAGTTATATAAAAAATATACAAAGTGTTTTGAAATGTCTTTTATAAATACACATCCAACTCATAAAAATGTCAAGGTTTTATCAAACAGAATACCTATTAGTATGCAGAGTATATACTTTCAGGGGAATAGTATTTCACAAAAACATTTCAAAATTACCTTTCTTCACGACTAATGTCAACTCCAACACTAGGTGGTGCTGTTACATTGGTTTTTATCACAGAAACAAAATTCTTCAGGATCAGTCTAAGACTGGTGCATCCTACTGATATATATCTGGAAATTCAGAATCAAAACTAATGAAACTTTTAAACAACATAATATGAACAATTCTGTGACTGAAATTAACGTATCGAGGGTTTGTATCAACACGATTATGTACTAATTTCTATCCGAAGAATTGCTCAAGTTCTTCAATATAAATTACAATTAATAATTAGTCTAAATTATGAGTGAGAAGTAAGCCACAAAAAGTCTTTATGACCATTCTGTATTAGGTAATCAGTGCTGTTAGAGATGTCAAGAAATCAATGTTTTTTTTTAGAGATTACTTGTTCAAGGAGGACGTAAACTGTACAAAATTAGCCCAAGTGCTTTGCAAGTGCTCATAAAAGACAGGCATTAACATAATCTTCATGAATATCACAAACTAGTAAAGCACTTAGAAACTGTACCATTTACATTTCACAGAATGAAATTTCATTGTGACATTTTTATACAACCAGTTCTGAATACCATTATGATTTTTTTTATCATTAATTCTAAGTACCATGATGAATTTTTATACCACCTGTTCAGAATAGCATTGTGACTTTTATATGACCAGTTCTGAACACCACAGACTTTTTAATATCAGCAGTTCTGAATGAGACACTTTCTGTATTCTCATAAACTTTAAAGTTCACAATAAACTACACTTCAGAATGAAAAAAGGAGACAAATAATATACTTACGATTCAAATTTACTCTGTAATAAATCATAAATGGTAGGTAGCAATAACTGACAGATGTTCAGGTTCCAAAGCTTCCTAAGATAAATATATATATATATATATATAAATTTGTATTATTTTATTGAAAAATGAAGAAGGCTTTAAAAATTTTATGTTGTCATACAACAAAAATTAATCAATTTTTCTAATAAAAACAAAGTAAAAAAGTCAGTCTCCTACAACGAGCAGAACAAGAAGTATAAAATGCTTACACAAAAACAGGTGAAACTTTGTATATTTAAAATTATTTACAAATATATTTCAACTTATAATAGCATCCACCACAGCAATCAAACCCCAAATGTTTAATGTTATAAGCCTTAAAGCTTACCACTGAGCCACCAGGGAGGGTCCTCATAATATTAGAACAGAATCCCAACTCCAACATTACCAGTGTCTCTGAGATGTGAAGTCTAATGTACCATTTTTTGTGTCCAAAATACCACTAAACATTACGTACAGTATTCTCATCTTGTTTTAGCGGAATTATGTCAGAAGTTACTTTTTTATTTTTTAATGACAGTTTAATAGACATACATAACTTACCTTTACTTAAAAATAGCTTGTTTATCAAATCTGAAATATATATATATATATAATTTTTAGAAAAATGATCAAACTTCACAATCTTCACATTTTAAAATATATTTAGAAAGCATGATATTGATGGGTATACAAATAAGTTACAAGATTTTGAAGAGAAATTACAAGTTTCATAACCATATAGGAAAGATTAGTTATATATAATTTAAGCCCCTGATATATAACAACATACATACTTAGATCCTTGATCTGATGGAATTGAAAACATGCATATGTATTTACTCCCTGGAGAATTGGATATTAAAGGCATTTCTACTGATAACCTTGGTGCGATAGAATTGAGAATACATATATACTTACACCTTATAGAATTTGATACTCTGGGCATTTTTACTTACACCCTGGATCTGATGGGTTTAAAAAAAAAATGCATATATTACATCATCAAGAAATTAACGTCTCGTTTTGGAACACTTTCATTAACCAAACCCGATAAAACGTAAATCACATATAATATTTAAACGTGTAGCCTATATAATGTGTAAAGTTTAGTATACTCTAATCCCTTATAGTGATCAGTCACGACGAGACACACAATCAGCATGTAATACTGTTTGAATAAAAGGGAAACAATGCCTCTGTATCCACAAAGAATATCAAAGGAGTTTATGGAAATGTTTTGAACATTCATAAGTGTCAAAGATGATTCAGCAAATTTCATTCAGGTGACTTTAGCCTTAAAAACTTTTATGGCAGGGGCCGACATGTTGTAATTGATGTTGATGCTCTGAAGACGCTTGTTGAGTTTAACCCAAGGCATCATGAAATGGTCCTG